GGGCTAGTAATCGATATATATCTATATATAAATTTTGCTGATAATATCTTTTAACAAATAATAATAAAAATTAAAATATACTAAAATATAATTAAATAATATTACTTATACAGTATTATTTTAATAATTTTAAACTAGATTTTATATTTTGAACTTTGCTTAATAAAATGATATTAATACAAAATAATTATTTTTTTTAAATTCTAAATAATACAATAAGCTCATATTGGTGAAAGACTTTCAAATATTAAATAAAAATATATGTAAATAAAAATAATAAAAACAAAAAAAAACTAGCTAATCTACAATTAATTAATTTATCTAGATTATATTTTACAAAAATTTCTTGTTAGGTTTACAATTGTCTTACTTTTATTATAACTCATTTTTTAATATATAAGTATTTAATTTAATAAGTTATAAATATGCCTAATAAAACAAGACAGTAGTTAATTAAAGAAGATTTTAAATATTAGACTATACTATCTTTTTTTATTATAAAAAATCTTAATTATGATGAATTTATAAATTCTATACCTATAACTACTACTATTTTTTTTCTAAATTTTTAATAATATTAATAAGGATTCAGAAGAAGAAGTTTATACTTATATTAAGAAAAAATGATCTTTAATTAAGCATGTAATAAAGCAGATTTGTACTAAATAATTGGTTAATAACTAGTATCATGTCTATATAATGATAAACTGGAGCAGATTGGCAAATATAGAAGAAAAAATAAAATTAAAAGAAAGAAAAAAGCACAGACAAGCTACTTGGGCTCTAGTAAATAAAAACTATATTTATTGTATTTATCTCTTTCAAATAAATCAAAAATAATAGTAAGCAATATAACTAATAATAATAATATAAATTAAAAAATAAATAAATTAATAGATGAATAAAGGGATTAAATATTTATATTTTTAAAGATATGATGATTTAGTGAAGTGGTTAAGTTGTTATACTTCCAAGCAGTATATTAGATAAGTAGGGTTCAAAACCCACTAGTGATAAATTTCTTTTTTTTGATATTAAAGTGATCTCTCTATTATATTTCTTTATTCAGTTATAGTTATAATTTTTATAGTATGATTTTCACATACTGTATACATATTTGGAGGGTACAACTAGCCACACGTGCAACTTTTAGTTGTCTATTTTAAGTAGTCCACTTATTATTAAGTTTTACACTAGATGTCATACCTATAACTCGACTAGGGGGTTATCTATTTAAACCCTCTGCGTCTATATGATTATACTATTAATTAAGCAAAAATCTAATGTGGAAACCCTTAGTTTCAGATACTGACTTAGGACTTTAAAGCAGACTCTTTACCTCCAAGAGCTCTTTATCCTCGAGACAAACCTGCTAGAGCCTTCCATACCTACAATCCAGCTGATCTAGTTTTTAGTTGATATGCATGGGCCAAGGCCTACCACTTGCGACCCAGTTTCTATATTAGATACTATGGCCTGATTGCCATTACACAACTTATTTCTGCTTTTATAAAGCCTGATATATATATTACAGACCATCTATGATATCTCCAACTATCACAAACTACCAATTCAGATAGCTCAGAAGAGCTGTAACCTGCTCCTGGTCCCTATGGTTGAGTTCTTTTTCTTTAGTACTTCTCTGGCGGTCTAGTTGGTGAAGTACCTTGCTGAACACTTTGGTTTTGTTCAGTTTTTGCCAGTTTTTCTGATGATAATCCTTCATATAGTACTATCAAAGATCTGTGCTACTTCTCTATTTGAGATTTGCCAAGTGAGTGCTTCATCACCATATTGACCTTGTGGTTTTCTGCGATCTGAAAATCTATTTGTGTAACTTATATATCATACAAATACCCTGAGATCTTCCAGTTCCGATAAATTGGTATAATCACAATTACAGAGTCTCGAGTTTTCCTGGCCACAGTATTAGTTACTGAATCTGTTTTCGAAATTTAATTTTCATCTTCAGTAGAAATTGAACTTGTACTCAACCGCTTGGGGTGTAACAACTTTACCACTTCACTAAGTCGCTACACTCTTCTAGTAATAAATTTTGAATATTCTACTTGTATGATAGCTACTATCTTTTATTGATCAATTGGAACAAGATCTTTGTAACTTTGGTAGTATCAACAAGATTAGAAGATTATAGAACATTTGTGCAATATATGAGTTATACAAAAAATTCTTAGATCATATTAATCCAAGAAACTAGAAAGATAGATACCTGCTTGGCAAGACCTGAATAGAGAGGTAATACAGATCTTTGATAGTACTATGTAAAGGATTATTATCTGGAAAAACTAACAACTAAACAGACTGGATATATAGAAAGACACCCTACCAATCAGGTCATTAGAAAACTGAAAGAAAAGGATCTGTTGATACCAGAGAACCAGTAGCTAGTCTGAGCTAACTTTTGCAAGTAAAAGTCTCTTCTGGACCATCTGAATTGATAGTTTAAGATTTAGAGAGTAAGGATAATAGTCTGTAAAATAGATACCAGGGTTTGGGTGAACTTTATAAAGGCAAAAGTAAGTAATAGTAGCAACTTCAGCTTGCAAGTACTTGTTCACAGACTTGATATAAGTTACTGAAGCCTAGGTTAACTGAATTGTGGATATGAAAAACTCTAGCAAGTTTACTTTGAGAACAAAAGGCTTACTGGTTGAATCTGTTTTAAAGTTCTAAGCTAGATATCTTAAGGGATTTATCTTGATTCGATTATAAAAAAATTATCTCACATAAAAATACAAAAGGTTTAAATAGATAACCTTCTAATTGGGTTATAGGCAGTATTATTACTTAGACAACTCGGACAGTATTTGAACAAAGTTTATCAGAGTTTGATACTAAATAACTTTGAATAATATATTGTAACAGGACCCCAAAGAACTCTGATATAACTTAGATCTGAGTTTGTATAGTATCAGCCAAATAGATATATAAAATAGGCCAAAATTTAAAATTTTACTATATAAAAATGCAATGTTTGATGAATTTCTACACAAAATTTCCTTTTTTAGTAACCTCTAAGTTATATCAGAGATCTTCGGGGTCCTATTGTAACCCACCTTCAGTTATTAATTAAAATTATTCAGAATTATTTTTTGTATATATGTATATATTTTTAGAGTGGATTTATAAATCTAATAAAAAGTCAGACAGTTCGCTGGATATTTTAAAAAGCTAGATATAATATCTAGTATAAAACTTAGTAATAAACAGACTACTTAAATAGGCAATCAAAAATTGTATGTGTGGCTAGTATACAGTCAACTCTATCTATTCTGAATCATCTATTCTTATATGTAAAATTGGTTAAAAAATTCAGTTCTCAAAGAATTATTATTAACTAATCCAAATTCTATAATAAAATTTACAAATGTTCTAGAGTTTTTTGTTTGGATTAGAGAGAATTTAATAATGTTTAGATTAGAGAGGTTCAGATTAGAGAGAGTTGACTGTATATTCTCCAAAATATGTATACTGTACAGGCTATCTAAAAAGAGCTTAGCATATAGTAAAGTTAACCCATAACTGAATAAAAAAAACCGGCCAAGAGGTCACCTTAACACCAAAAAAAAAAAAGAGTAGTTTTAGGCATCTCCCGCGGGAGATGCGTATTCACACGAATTGCCTAATGATGAACCAGAATTTTGTCAGAATTTAGTGTAATGTAGCACAATCACAAAGATCAAAACAAACTTTTGTTTTTTCAAAAATCGTTTATTTCTCGAACATTTGAATAAGAAACTACCTTTTGTACACTAACAAAAAATTTTCCTTGAGCAATTTTACTATAAGTACCACTAACACTAACCTTAACACAAACTCTAACCCTACCTTAAACGAATTTGGTTGTGGGAGATATATAACTTATATATATCCCACGAGAGATGCCTATAATTTCCCTTTATTTATTAACTTTTAATCTAAAAAATTATTTAAGGATTTTCTAATAATAGCAATGGTATATTGATTTATATATGTTTATTTAAAAAATTGTTAAGTTTTAACTTATAAATTATTAAATTTTAAAATTTATAGATGACAAAAATCGTACAATTTCTTATAAAAGAACATTAAACATCAATGGTTGGTTAAATTTCTTTAATGATTATTAAGTACATTATATACTGTATTAACAAATATTTTTTAACCTACTAGATGATTCTGAAGAGAAAAATTTATACAAAAAGTTAAAAAGTTAAATCCAACCTTTTATTATATTTTATAAAGGATTATGTAATTTTATCAAGATTATAATTATATCAAGTTTATTTATTTATATTGATCAATAAATTTAGAGTTAAAATAATAATAATAATAAAACGAATATTATTAAGAAAATAATGCCACAATAATTATAGTAAATTGCACATCTGAAATATGTGACAGGTTTGTGACGAACTGTAGTGAATATTGCCTAAATTACGAATCAGGTTTCAAGATCAGGTGTAGCGTAATACGATAAGGAAAATTCAACCAAATAATTCGAACAGACTAGAAACTATAATATTTGTTATACTACAGACAAGTGTATAAGTTTATTATACATTAAATGAATAAACAAAATGCGTATCATCATTGTGTGTTAATATTAAATTCATAGGGAGTACTTCCGAGTTGACAAAATGTGATATAAGAAACTTTTTATATAAGAACATCTTTAATACAAGAAACTCTTTAATATAAGAAGCTTTTGATATAAAAAAAAATTTATAAGTCAATTGAAAATTTCAAGATAAAAAGCCTTTGATATAAGAAAATATCGATATAAGAAAAAATTTGGCTAGATGTAATCAAGTTGGTTTTGATATCAATTAAATACAAGGTAATTAATTCAACATTTATTTCATAAAAGCTTGTTATTGATGTCTCCAAAAAATATCATCTATCGATTTCGAATATCAATAAAAGTTCTTTATAAGATTGTACTTTTCCTTTAGAATTTCTCTTTTGCTGATTTTTGATATAACTCCAATGCTTTCTTTTCACCTTTGATAGCGCATATACCTTTTCATAATATCATGCAAGATCATGTCGTCCGCGAGAATTTTCTCTTCGTCTTCGATAGGTAATTTATCTGACATCAAAATATGTGCAATTTTATACGCACGTACAACTAAAGTTAAATTATCACGTTGCGTGGTTCGGCTAAATGACCTGTCAGTGAAGTGAAGCGATTTAAAAGCATTCTTTAAATCTACAGCAACATATGTACCCTTTCATTACAGTGTCCGATGCTACATTGTCCCATAAGGATCTCACTTTCGGTGCTTTCTTCTCATCCTTAACATTTCTGTAGCATGTTCCAATGTTACACTGTCCAACTGAATTCCCTCCTTTTTTTGCTGATTTTAAATACCATTCAGATGCCTTAATTTCACTTTAGCTGTTAACACTATTTCCATAACACTACAGTTATGGTTATATTGTCCCAGGAACTACTACTCTTTGCTGATATCAAATACTGGTTAAACATTTTTCTTTCCTGCAATGTCTACGAGATTTTCTGTTAATCTTTTCTATCTGAACCACCTTTCTCTCTAGGATTAATGTATTTTTATGCTTTAGTACTTTTTTGAAAAGATACAACTTAAAAGTGACTCAACTACTAAAGCGTAGCGTTTTCACATGAATATCTATTACTGTATTACTGGCTTTGTACAAATTTGAAATTGATAATTGTTAAGCTTAATTTTCTTAGTATCTTTTTTACGTAGTTCACAATCCTATATCTCATTTCTTTATCTCATTTCTTTATCTTATTTGCTTTTTTTTATTATTATCGTTATGGAATATATAGTAATTATTTATACGCAGAAGAGGTAGCATGCACATACGTGCGTGCGTACAAAATTTTGACGGCAGATTTTAATTGAATATTGTAGAACTTTCAAAAATTCATTATAAAATATATTTCATACAAATTTAATTATTAACACTAATTAAACTTGATCCATTAAACTATCAGCCTGGCTATCCCAACGACACTGTTACACAAATTTGTAGTAAGATAGTAATGGGTATGTGTCATTGGGGTGTGCGGCGCACTAAGTAAATCAAAACAATATGTGGTGTAATAGAGAAGTCTATTATGATAGATTTTTAAGTGATTGTCGATTGATTAACTCAAAATATATTTTTTATATATAAAGTTGGGTCACAATTTTTAGATACACGGGTTGCATTTTTTTTTTCTGCCAAAAATTTCAATATAAATCGATTCTTGCTTATTACGACTATAAAGTTATAGAACCATTTTAGTTGCTACCTATGGGAGATTTTTTTTTCTCCAAATTATTTTAATTACATATTTTTATTTGTTGGTTGGCAAATTTTTAAGTTAGTTGGTAAGTTTTTTTTTTGTTAAAGTGAAATTTCGCTCTGTAGTTTAGTTCTTTGAAACGTTTTATTAATCTTCTCAAAATTTTATTTTGAAATTATGTACCGTTAAAGCTGTGCATCTAATTAAATCCGAGAAGATGGGCATTTATAAGTCATATAAACGCCGATTTCAGTTAAAGAATGCACGTCTTAATAAACAACATAAACGACTTAAGGAAAAGATGGTTATAAATGAAAAAACAACTAATGAAGAGGTATCTGTCGAGATTGAATCCACCAGAAATTCATTACTCAAAGAGGCATCAATCGAAGGGGCATTAATTGAAGGGGCATCAATCGAAGGGGCATCAATCGAAGAGGCATCAATCGAAGGGGCATCAATCGAAGGGGCATCAATCGAAGAGGTATCAATCGAGGGGGCATCAATCGAAGAGGCATCAATCAAAGGGCATCAAACTGTTCACAAAGAACCCAATTGATCGTAACCATACAGCAATTACCTGAAGAAGAATTACCTTCAGTAAGTAATCTTATCTCTACTATGAGATATCCGAAAGATCCAAACAAAGGAAAGATAATTTCACCGTACTTGCAAAAAAAATCATATAATTACCTTGCTCAAACACTTTATAAACCTAAATCAGACTATTTGTTATTACAAAATTCAAATTCAAACTTAAAAAAAACAAATAAAGAATTTTCACATAAAAATCAAAAACTTGTTAAACACACACAGTCACTTGGAGCAGAAGCTCAACATATTCAGAGCCAAAAATTAAAGCACATTTCTGAAATTCGTTCTTTAGTTCGATGTTCTAAAGAAATCACTAATGAAGAATTTCATAAAAAATACAATTTGGCTCGCTGCAACCATTTTTCAAGTTGGTGAAATGTCGCTACGTTCTACTGTTGAATACATGTGGTTAGTCTATAAATTTTTGGTGGGAGAACCACCTCAAGATTGGTTGTCATCATCCACTTTACGCACCTGGCATAAAGATATTTCCGAATTACAATTTAATAAACAAATTCATCAAGTCAAAAGCACTCAAGCATTTGGAATAATGGTCGATGAATCCACGCAAGGCCAATTAAAGAATTTGGTACTTTGTTATCAATATTGGGATGAGAAAAATCATTCACCTAAAGTAATAGTCGCACAATTATAAAACATTATCAAATGTAATGCTAATACAGTATCTGATAATGTAATAAAGCATATTCAAGAATGTGGTTTAGATGTCAATAAGTGCACAATATGGATGACGGATAACACATTATATATGTCTAGTGATAAGAAAGGAGCTGTTGCTCTATTCAACAAAAAAACAAATAGAAATTCATTGCAGATCGGTTGTGGACTTCATATTATTCAAATAATAATGAACCACTTTGAACAAGCAGCATTTGGTATACTTTTCAATACTACCAGGTTTTCAAGAAAGCTGTATTTGTACAATTTATTATATTTAGCTTGGAAATTACATAATGGCTATGATGCCAGTAACAAGGATAAACCTTTAAACATAAACTTACGAATAATTAAAGACTTGTACGATAGACTGTTGAGATTTTATTATAATCAATATCAGTTACCTCTTCGTACATGTTGGGGTTATGAATTATGAATGTTAAAGCAGTATCTAGATAGACGAACAGCACATATTGAGTTCACTAACTGGTTTATAAATAAAATGGAGAAGAAGCACAATGCTCCTAAACAATATTACAATGATTGGTGTTTGTTCCGGTCCTGGCTCCTTGACCCCAAATTAAACATTCAAATAAAATGTTTAGTTAACTTTGCTGAACATTTCTATGAACCATTGATGCAGTTTATAATTGGACAAGACAAAATTCTGCGTATTTATCAAGACAATCAATTTATTAACCTACCTCTGGAACGTCAGGCACACAAAATGCCTGACAAGGTTTATGAGTGGTATGAATTTCTTTGAGATGTGGCCAAAAACTTTGAGATGTTCTTCGCTGATGAATTATTAGAAGCGTTAGATACTTTGTCTTGTGAGGAATTTGGAATTTTCTTTGAAAATTTGAATAATGGAATTATTAAAGCCTTGGACTATTTTGAAAAATGGTTATCGCCTTGGCTTCATTTACCATTAGTTGTCTGTTGTCTCAGCAGCAATAATGCTAGGTCTTTTGCTTCTAGTTTTTTTCATATTGTCTTGAAAAAACCTTGGGTTAGACTATCGAATGATCTGAAATTGCATTTTGCAGAAGAATTGGAAGATGATTTAAAGAATAGAAAAGCCGATAGCTTAGGATTACATGAATTGTTACTACAAGATGATTTTTTTAAAGAATTCGAAGAATTCTGTGTTAATGACGAACTATCAATATATAACTTTCCTAAACTTTATTAATTTATTAAAACTCAAATCTATTTTATTGTTATTCACCAGCAACAGGTGGAAAGTCTTTTTAACAAACTGGACCTAAGAACACATCCCAACATGTCACTATCAGTAAAATAATCCAAGCTTCGTTTGTCCTCAAGTTAAATTAATAAAGAGAATTTATTAGAAAGAATAAAAAAAATGCAAGCAAATCGACAAAAAACACCACTTCAAGAATCAAATTTAAAGCAATTTGGACCTGATATTGCTTCAAATATATTTAATAATGTGTTAAATTAAATTAATTTTTATTAATTATTAATATTATTGTAACGATAAATTACTGTCACATAATAATAAATTACAGAATTAATTAGTGACCGTTATAGTTACACAAAAATCTTTGATAATAGATTTTTATATGATACCATATATAGTTTTGATTTACATAGTGCGCTGCACACCCCAATGTGTCATAGGATATGTAGTAATATGTTATGCAGGAAATATGTGGTCATTGAATGCAGGAAAATGTGACTATGAAGTAATTAGTCCACACGCAAGAATTATGCAGTAAGTATGCAGTAATTATTACTTTATTTAATTTTGACCAGTCTGCTTTGCCATATAAATTTATGTGGTGTAATGGTCTTTCTGCATTTGATAATGTAGTGTAAGATATGTTTACTATGTATGGTTGGTAGCTTGACT